ATATATATATATATATATATATATATATATATATATATATATAACCTGAAAAATATGTTCCTCTAAATAGTAAAATCATTCTTATATGTTATAACACATCCAGAGAATTTTGATTAATACTTTAAACCATGATTAGTACTAATTTAGGTAAGTTAAGAAAATTTATATAAATATAAAAATAACTAAAATGCTCTTAATTTTTTTTTTTGCATCATGATTAGTTCTTAAATGATATTAACATAAATTGGAGCCTTAAATAATGATGAACTTAGTAGTTAACAGAGATTAACTACAATGGCATATACATAATATTTGAAGTATAGATCAAACATAAAATTTTAGAAGGATAATTACGAAAATCAAATAATTAATGCATTTCAACAAACTAAATTATTTCATCACTGTAACTCTATTATGGACTGCGCAGATAATAAAGCTTCATTCTTCTTTGTAAAAAGGAAAACACAGCATTCCCCTTTTCTTGAATCATCATGTGGATACAGTTTATTGGAATGATTGCACAGCACAAGCAGCTTGTTCTTTGGTTCTTTGGTGACATAAAAGAAAATTAAAATTCCTGATTTGGAACTCTTATGCTGGCTGTTCCCTCTTCCCAAAACAAAAGCAACAAGGAAGAACTTGTCAAAGGTCAGGGGGTAGCTGGATTACTTGAGCCTTAGAGACAATTCTCAGGTCCGTGAGCTATCTACCACTCTTTCCTGTATCAGATGGATGGATGTCAGCAATCCTCTCTGGGACTGCTCTTCCATTATCTTCAGTCCTGGCCAACACCTCAAAATGCATTATAGCCTTTGTTTCCCATGCATGGAATATTGAAGAATCAACCACTCCATTAAGGAAAGCCCGTCTTCACATAAGTTTGTGCCAACACCTGTCTGTCTTGATCAGTCTACTTATGCAGATAATTCCTTAAAAGCCTCAAAGGTTTGGACAATGTGCTGAGATGAGATCCATTGATCACATCAGATGTGGCCAAGACGATGCCGAGCACAAGATGTTGGGGCTTCAGGGATGATTAGCAGGCCTGATGCCACAGGGTGCTAATGTCGGTGGCCGCAGTTGAGGGGAAGGAAGAGGAGATCAATTGCGTGTGGAAGGACAATAAACTTGGACTCTTCACTGCCACCACTGCATCATCTGATAGGAGAAACTTCTTCAGTGAACCAGCTTCCGCATCATGCTGCAGAGTGGTGAACAACAGCAAAAATCTTGTTTTATCACTGAGAACACCTACAAGGCCATTGGACATGTTAGTCGCCATGACAATAAAATCATCTTAATAAGCAAATCCTTTAGGGTCTTTGATTTAGTAATCAAGTAATGGTGCTAAAGTTACCTCATAATCACCACAAAGCAAAGAACATGTAAAAGAAGTGCAAACAATGCAGAGGGAATACTAACATTCTCATCGAACAGAGTATATCCATTTAGAACATCAGAAAGCTATAAAGGGCACGGAATGTATGTCATGTAAAAATTTAAGAACCTCCAAGAATTGATCAAGATAGTAATTGCAAGTTCTGCCTTGTCATTCAAAATCATGAGGATATGTAGGTATGAAATCTCAGAGACATTTAAGAGTATTTCATGGTCAGATCCACCAAATATCTAAATCTAAATATGAAAAGGATCAAAGAATCCAAGACTATACCCAAATTCAACAAGAGAGGTAGAACTTGGCATATATGTCAGTTGTACATGAAAACATCCTTTTCATAATAAATTTTAACTGCATGTAAACTATGTAAGGCTTAATAAACTCATCGATAACCTATACTAAAGACAATCAAGCATCACTAACAATTAACATGTTGATACGTTCTTGCATAGTGTAGATGCAAAACTTGTTGGGCAGTGAATGAATCTAGCTAGTTCCAAACCTATATTCGATAAGAAATTGGATACAAGTTGAGACTCAGCTTTGAAGCCATTAAGAAAATCTTCTCATCACTTTCCTACACAGCAATTACTAGCTGAACTTGTTTCAGGGAATTACACCCGAAAAATCTAATGATAATCAGGTTGCTGAGCTACACACCATGTGGAGTTACCCCGTTCGATTTGTATTGAGCAAATTCTTAGAACTACTCCAATGATATCACCGAGTCTCGTACGACTTCACTAACACAAAAATCCTGATTACTTATGAATATATGAACTTAGGTAATAAGTTGCATTGGGGAAATTTTTACAACTACTCCAATCATATTAATGAGTCTATTGACTTCAGTAAGTCTTGATTACTTATAATGATTGCAATGTATCAGATAGTTGTTTTGTCAAATGAAAAGATAAGCCTTTTTCGATAACTCTCCAGAGAAAAGTTGAATACGTACTTTTGGAAACGAAAGTTGAAATTTTGTGACCAAATACTGATCTATCTCACAAACATAAGTCTAATGTAACTGCAAACAAATCGTTCGCGAAAACAAGACGAAGGATTTATGTGGAACACTCGCTTACCGGCGATGAGAACCTCGTATCCGGAGTAGCCCGTCCTGGATCCATCGCTCCATTAGGGTGGGCGAGCTGAAACGCCGTCCCCTAGCATGTGGCTACCTCGCAATCTCGGCCAATCCCATTACCTCCTCCCCACCCTCCTTATCCTCTAATACGACCAAAAACCAAACTACCACACAAGCAGAAGTCTAATATAAGTGGAAACGAATCATTAGCGAAAAGACAACGAAGGAATCACGTGGAGCAACTCGATTACCGGCATTAAGTCCTGGATTCGCAGCTCCATTGGGGCGGGCGAGCTAAATAAGCCGCAAAACTGGAGAAACCCTAGCATCCGACTTCCTCGCAATCTCGGCCAACGCCGTTTCCTCCTCCTCCTCTGCCGCTGCCGTAAAGATTCGGCGGACCACGAAATCCCCACCGCGTGACGCCCTCCAACAGCGCGATCGGAATCATCCTCTTCTCCATGTTGAACCAGCAAAAGAGATTCAAGGAAGAGAGCCATAGGAGATTTAAAGGAAACAAAAAACAAAAAAGGGAGATACAAAGAAAAAGAATACAAATATAAGCAAGAAAAAGGTCCCACCGAGATTTGAACTCGGGTTACTGGATTCAGAGTCCAATGTCCTAACCACTAGACCATGGGACCACTTGTGTCTTTATGGCCTACAAATTACTATTATATCTATTCACAATTTTAGCTATCATTCAGTGCATTGACTATTTATCTAATGTCAATACATTAATAATGATGAGCTATATGAGATTTCACTGCATTTGTCTCCTCCATGATAATGAGTTTGTCTAAACTTCCAGCAAGAACTTTGGTTCCTTTTCTTAGATCTACCAAACCTAGCTAGGTGGTGTTCTGTCTTGGTGTCCTAAGGAAGGCAGACTCTTCCATGGAGTACTTACTGACTCCACCCATTATCCTAAACTCTCAGTTCTTCATGTTAGCATCATAAGGTTCTTTGGATTACTTCCCCTTCTTTCTACCTACATCCAGTTTTGTTTGTCCTCCATGAATGATTTGTTGTGCTTTTCAAAGGCACTGATGTCTTGGAGTTTTTCTTGTGGAAGGGCATGGATTCCAATAGCAGAGCTCTTTGCAAGGGACTGGGAGACCAAACATCAAAATGACACTGCTGATGACATGAAACAATGACTGTGTGAGGAGCAACAGCATGCAAAGTAAGTAAGGTAGGGAGGAAGAAGCAAATGGTGTGTCAGAATCAAAGTTCTCACCAAAGTTGGGGTAGAACAGAGGTTTCTACCTTTGTTCTTTGAGGATTCATCTACAAGTGGGATGGCAAAAGTCATAAGCTGCAGCACAGACGCAGATGTTCTCGTCAAGCTATCAGAACCTTTGTTGGATTCACCTAAATGATATCTAACAGTTGTGTGACCATCTTATCATGCTTTATTTGATGGGCATTCACTTTCTACTTCCTTTCTTTCTCTTCCTATCCTCCATTCTTCTCCTCTGGTGACTGGATGCTGAATGGATTCTGGGAGGAGTGGGGATGACTGTTGCAGCGATAATACTGCGGCTCAGTTTGCTCTAGGAATCATCATCTTCTGTAATACCAGTGTCAGTGGAGTCACCAGGCATTCCAAGAGAGGCTTTGGGGAACACGATGTAAACAAGCAAGCAAGAGATCATGCTTCACTGGTCATGAACAGAGATGTGGTGGAGTGTTGCTTTGGAAAAGATGAGCATAATCCACTTTCAACTGATCCACAGTATGCAGCATCTTCTTTGAGGAACACAAATCTGCATATGATAATGGAGATTAATTACAAGCATAGGCATGAGTGGTTTGCGTGTCTTCTGTCCGTTTCCTCCATCCATTGCTCTTTTCCCTTTTCCAATGAAGCATAGGCATGAGTGTTTTGTGTGTCTTCTGCGAAGGGGGTGCAATGAAGCCAAGGCACTCATGGAGAAGCGTGCCAGCGTTGTCGCCGCGCCTGGCTGCGGTGGTGCTCCACCCTCAAGGAGCGGCCCCAGGTGCTCCTCTGCACTCTGCACTCTGCAGCGCTATATGAATCAAACTCCTCGGTGTGTCCATTGCATGACCCTCTCCTTCCCCTCCTCCCCACAGAAAACGCATCTCTCTTTCTCTTATGGAGGTTGAAGCCCACCACGCTCACCTCTTCCGCTCCCAACTCCTAACAAATAGGTACCGACTCCCTTCGTCTCTTCTTCTCTCAGGCACATACCTACTGTAACATATGTTAGCTTATGTGCAGTGAAATCATCGGCAGTGAAGCGGACCAGCCAGGTACGTACGGGTTGCAGGAGGGAGTCGTCGCGCCGGTTGCCGATGCTGCCGTTGCGGCGGCAGCGTCGAGGAAGCGGCCGCGCCCACCATCGTTTCTTGGCGGTGACGGACTCTGTTACGTGCAGCAGCAGATGCGGGACTTCGATCGCCTCGTCTTGCAACACGTAATTCTCCTGGCTTGGACGTGGATGTCGGGAAGTTGCGGTATCTGATGGGTTGGAATTGGTATGGCAGGCGGAGAGTGTGCGAGCGGAGCTGGCGGTGCGTCGGCATGGGTTCGCGAGGCGGGTCGTGGCGGCGTTGGAGGAGGGCGTGTTGGCGAGGCTCAAGGCCAAGGAGGAGGAGATCGCGAGGGTCGGGGAGCGGAACTGGGCGCTGGAGGAGCGCATCAGGAGACTGCGGGTGGAGAACCAGGTGTGGCGGGACCTGGCGCAGAGAAGCGAGGCGACGGCCAACGTGCTGAGGGCCAAGCTCGAGCATGCTCTCGCGGCGGCGCAGGTGAGGACGGAGGAGGAGGCTACGGCCGAAAACGCCGAGTTCTGCCGCTCCGGAACCAACGAAGAGGGAGAGGCCGCCGTCGGGAGGGGTTGGGGGACAGCCTGCCGGAGCTGCCGCGAGCGCAAGCCGTCGGTGCTGCTGCTGCCATGCCGGCATCTGTGCCTCTGCGCGGCGTGCGGCCCCGTCGTGGACACCTGCCCCGTCTGCGGCTGCACCAAGAATGGCAGTGTCCAAGTGAACATGTCTCGAGTCCAAGAAAGGTAAAAAGGACTGCACACACAATTATTCTCGTTCTTTCCTCCTCCTTCCCCAGCGTCAGTATCTTCTCCTTGGTTGATTCTGTTTCTGTTCTTCCTAAGAAATCAAATTTTTCTTGGATTATGTAAATATCCTTCATGAACATAATATAAATGCAAATGAGTCAAGTCTCTTCTGCTAAATGAATGAATCCAAAGCCCCCCACCCTCCTCGAGGAAGAAGTTTGGATATGCTATCCGAGGGTGGGATATGCTCCTCGCACTAGGGGTGGTGGCCTCCTGAGGCCATGATGAACAGAGCATGGCGCAGGCTTGAGAGAACCAAAAGTTGCTCCTGTGATAGGGCACAAGATCTCATCTTGGCACTTATTTTGCTCCGTTTAAAGTAGGTCATCTCAGACCACACCCTCCGCTGCTCCTCCGGGCGTGGATGTCTGTGCCAAGTCCCAAAAGCCAACACAAACAACCCCACATCTGCCATCACCAAGTGTGGGAACTTCCAGTTTCTCTGCCATGACATTTTTACCTTTTCTGTGGATGGATGGATGTGGTGGGGATGGTTGAGTAAGGCCAAAGTAAGACACTAATACACCTCTCAGGACAATACATGTTACAAGGGTAAGACACCACTGATATTAGAAGTTAAAATCATGATAACGATGACATGCATGCCTTGGAATGAAGGCATTCATGGTTGCCTTGTCCTTTAGATCAACTATTGCTCACAAAATCGATTTAACTGTAACTCTGTTCCAACCTACCTGTGAACCTTTCGGGGCAGGGACTCTGCAGAGAAGAAACCCACCAAAAAAGAAACAGAAAAAAAAAAGAAAAAATTTACAAATGATGGTTGTCAAAATAACATATGTACACTCAGCACTCTTAACCCCACTTCACCTAATCCTGGATGCTCTGGATTTCACCCATCATTATCCGATTGCTGACCACGTTAAACCCTAAGATCGATGCACTCACCTTCTGCCCTTTCTTCCCCTTTTTCTTCACTCGTCCTTTGGATGGCCCGTCTAGCCCTTCTTCTGCACCATCAGCTTCAGTGGCAGCTGTCGTGTTAGAATTGCGATGACTCGCACTCCCAGTGGATGGGTTATGGGGCTTCTGCAACTGGAAGGCAATTTCGAGGACATCTGATGGCAAAAACTCCTTGTAGTTGAGGAACTTGTCGATGAACTCATGATTCGGGTCCATTGAACCGAGATTCTCCCTCAGTAGCATTTCAGCCTCCGAAGTTGATTGCTTGATGCAAAATTCCAGAAAACTTGTATCTGAAACAAATGGGAGGATGAAAGAGTGATCAGTCTTGTATTGATCATGGAAAAAGAAACAGAACAATCCAGTCTTGATAGTTAATGATACCATTAGTCCCCGTGAGGCCGATCCACTCATTCACACACCAATCCCTAAATTCCATTGCTTCTGCAAATAAGAAATGATACGAGACAGAATTGTTAAGAAAAAAATCATAGGCCATATCCATTGCAGGCTTTACCTGAGTTCTTTGTCACAGAAACACCCCTACCTTTTGAAACTGATGGACTGGGGCTAGAAAAGGATGAAAGAGACTGATCCACTGGTCTGCTTCCTGATGGTTTCCGACCTGATCCTGCTCCAGAAGCTCCTTTCGAAGTGGTTCCCTTAATTCCCCAGCTACCAGAGCTACAAGTCAGCAGGAAATCAAATGTGTTAAGATGGCAATTGATCTAAAATAATGGCTAAGAGCCATTAAGGCATACAATATCAACAAATATACATGCTTTCACATTCCTGCTCTCACCAGTTCAACCGAATTCGGTGCTACCAAAGCATCCACAGTTGTTATTACTAGTTTAATCACAGGCCTAAATGCAGAGCATGTTAAAGACAATCCAATTTGAATAAATAACTGAAGATGATGAAGTCTAAAAAGTAACGAATGAAGTTCACCAACTAATAAAAAGAAATAGGAGACCAACTGCAATAAAAATCACTGATATATAACCACAGAAACCAAATAGAAAATTGGGGCTGAAAAAACCAAATAGTTAAATACCTAGACATAAATGATGTGAAACTATCACAAACCTTTGAAGTAAGACATTTCAACTTGAACCCTTACGAACACAGATGCTCCCTAATACTACAGTGAGGCATCTATTCTATGACAGCGATGATCTGTGGGACCTAAATGCAGCATTAAGCCACTAGAAAATTTCTATATATGTCATAGCAAAAACAAGTAACAAGTACCAGCAGCAAAACACATTTGGAAGGAAAAGAAAAAAACTAACAGCTTCAAAATTCAAGGTTATACTTATAGAGGAAAACAGTAGCAATGGGTAGGCCACCTTAAATAGAGATTCAACCAATAAAATGGCATGTACAATTAGCTCTTCGGAACATTAGATTTTCCTACTGCTTGATCAGGAAAAAAATATTATTTCTGTAAAAAAGAGGCTGCTCTAGTGCTCATGCAGATGTTATTCACATTCACTCAGGTGAAAAGGTCAAAGGTCAAAGCAACTCTATCAGACAGCTCTTTGCCTAAACCAACAGTTGTTGCAAAGCCCCAGTATACTTGAATAAGAGGACCTTATTAAGGCCAAAAACATATAAAATGAGTAGCAATTTTCCAACAGTAGAATGAATCAGGGCACAGAAACAACATAAGAATTTCATTGAAGCTTAATACCACGATTAATAAGGTATGCATAAGCTGCCAGAAACAGTTCCTAGTAAGTTAACAGCTTAAGGTAAAAAACATTTCTTCATGCTATATTTGACCATCCACACATACAACACCTTCTAGAAAGGGATGTTAACAATAAGGCAAACTAACAACAAGGTATTCTAAAAAGATCACTGAAAAATAAGCAACACGTGGAATACATAATAACAAAAAATTTTGTGCAAACATAAAAAAGAAGCAACCATGCTGACAGTTCTGTGAGGTGATCTCAATTGATACTATGACGAGCCAATGTTTACATTAAGAATCTTCAAATTAACCAATTCCAGATGAAGTTTTTGGTCGGAAGACATAACAAGTGACAAATCTGATCATACAGATTTATAACCTTGATAGAACTAAAATATGAACAGTAAAAAATTCCTAAAACTTGGTCGAATAGACCAACTAATAAAATATTTGTAGCAAACAAGCACAACCAGATGAATATAATGGAAGGAAACCTATGAAACCAGTCATACTATAAGAGACGAGAACAGGGAAAAAAATGTCAGGAAAATCAACAAAATAACTTGTGGCATGGCAAGTGAAAGAATAACATGCAACAGAAATGAACTTTGGAAAACCATTCCAAAGTACATACCTTTTGGGATTTGGTTTGGTTTGATCAAGAGGCCCCCAAAACAGATCATCTTCATCTCTAGATTTCGGAGCAGGAACTTGTGAAATGAGCTGAATGGATGATGCAGTGTTGGATGGAGATGATCCAAATAACTGCCTAGAAGTCCCACTTCCACGACTAATATGGCTTGGTTGTTGCTTCACAGGAGTTGGTATTGGAACTTGCTGCTGCAAGGTTCCTGACCTCTTCTCTTGTTCCATCTGAATATCTCTCAGTGGCATTGGCCTCTGAGGCTTCCCAGAGTCACCAGACCAAGCCGGAGGAGGTACAGAGGTTGCTTGATCCCCCTTCCAAAGAACAAAATCCCCTAATGATGGACCTGTGGGCGGAGCAGGTAAATAATCTTTATCTTGTTGCGCTTGGCGTGTACTTTTAGCTTTTTCAATAGGAGATGGAGCTGCAGGCAATTCAGATGAGACGACTGACTGTGGGATCTTAACTACAGAAGCTTTTGACTTTGATGCCTTTTTGCGGCCTTTTCTAGTGTCTTTCGCCTCAACAAAATCGTCATCATTAATAGTAGATGTATCAACATGGGCCTCAGTTATTGATGGGGACTGCAGAAGTGAATCCTGAGCATTATTAGCCAAAGGCTCTATATCTTCTTTATTTGACTTGGCCAAAACTTCTTCAGCCAATAAATCATGCAACTGGCTTTTACTGTTTTTTGACTTCAGTGTATTTTCAGAGTTGACTAGGAGAGTACTTGTTGCAGCTTGGATAGTATCATGACTTGATTTACTCTCCAAATTCGTCACTAATCCTGCCCAAGGGACTGACAGGATTCTAGCAGACGTAGCTGTTGCAACAATTTCGGAATGTGATGTTTCTCTCTGAGCCCTCAGCTGTTCCTCCTGTTGTATCTCCAAAAGTGATTTAGGCTTGAGCCCTGGAGTGGATTTCCATGCCCATTGAGACAAGGTTGCCTTTGGATTGGATGTCAATGTCCCAACTGCTCCAGATTCGGCTTCTCCTCCACTTAAAGATTCACAAGTCAGTAGATTCACTGAGGATGATATATGTGATCCCTGAGATTCGGAAGGTTCAGTGGAGGATGCAAAAGAAACTTCACCTCCTGTCCCAAAGGAAGGCCCATAGAGAGACTCATCAGCATGTGTTTGCACTTCAGATTTAGATACATCGGCAACTGGACCAACGATTCCAATGCCTGTACTTGATTTCTGGCCAGAAACAATTTTCCCAGGATCTGAAGATATCTTTGTCTTGGATTTCTTTTGTTTTTTTGATTTCTTTTCAGAAGCTTTTTTTACTTCTTGTGCTTCTGCAACCTCTTCTTTATTAGAAGTCAGTTCAGTATGGCATCCGTCAGTAAAATCTACTGAAGAAATGTTAGTATCATGTAGTTGATCAGAGATTGATGATACACAATCATGAGATGTCCGACTGTCCTCAACAGGTTGTAGATCATTCGGAGCGTCAGAACCAAATTGTGCCAGCACTTGATCCTGGGATATCAGTGGTGGTTTATGGACTGCTCCAACATCACCCAAGCTTTGACTAATCTTTTGGGTATCAAAAATCACTTCCTCAGGCTTCTCCATAGCCTCTGAAAAAGTCAAACTAACAGACCTCTCCATAGCCTCTGATAAAGTTGAACTATCTGCCATCACTGGCTTTGTTGCAGTAGCAGGATCAACACTATCATCATTTTCCAGTGAAAATTGGGCATCTGATGCTTCAGCTGTTTGGTCAATGATCTGATGTGGCAAGTGCAGAGGTCCAGAACTTACTGAACTGACATCTAGTGTGCCTTGTAAATTTAAATTTGGCTGATAAGATAGTTGTCCAGTACGTTCATACGCAAGGGGCATCTGCTGATTAATCTTAAGTGGCTCATGTGCTCTCTGAAGCACAAGATGGTCCATAGCAGAATTGTGTGCTGGCATCACAGCAGGTGCTTGTCCATAAGAAGGATCACCAAACTGTTGATGAGATTGATGACCAGATAGGACCTTCGATAAAATATGTTGCTGCTGCTCTTGCTTTTGCTGCTGCTGAAGCAACATAAACTTTTCCAGCAAAGGCAGTTGAGCAGCAGGCGTCTGAGAATGCAACTGAAGCTGCGACAATAGATATTGTTGTTGCAATAGACTGGACAAACGAGGATCCTGGTTTATCTCAGAAGAAAGCATTTTATCAGGTGGGACTAAGCAAGAAGAAAGATCACCATGTGTCGTGAATAATTGAGGCAACGGTGGCTGATTAGCTGATTGCAAA